AAAAAAAACAAAAAAAAAAAAAAAAGTACATGTAAAAAAAAAAAGGGGGGGCACTGGCCCCATATGCTGGAGGTGGCGGGTTCAGGCCCAGCCCTGGGCAAAAACTCAAAAATGAAAAAGAAAATAAAGAATATAAAGAAAAAAAGAAAAGGAAAGGAAAGCAGCAGCAGCAGCAATGACTTTTATATAAAAAGACTTACCTGGTACCTGTGACCCGCTTGTAATTATCTTTGGAATATACTGCTAAGATGCTAACCCCTGAGCCAATGTTCACCAGAAGCAGAGGGTATGGATTTTTCAAATCAAATGGTAACTTCTGACATTTCTCAGAGTCAGCAGGGTTTTCAAAATAATAGCATTGTGACCGTCCATTGAATCCAACTGAGTCAATGTATAAAATTCCTTTTATTAAGCAATCTAGTTCATCCAGTTTGCAAAGCTGAAGATCACCTATCTGTAATGAAATAAGAATGTATTCAGACTTCTTAACAGAAATAAAAATTCCATTTAATAAGACACTTCCTCCATATTAAACCACAGAATTGGGCTCACAGATGTGTATTATTTGTGCACACTTTGCAAAACAGATTTGTAAACAACAAACATAGATCAGACTACTAAGACAGACTTTTGCCCCCACAGACCCAAATATACTCTACTATAAACCACTGGAGCAGCTGAAGTAATGTGCAAAAAAAAAACCCAAGTAACACTTATTAACTAGTCAAGCAGAAAACAAGGGACAATGAGGCAGGTGTGCAACTGAAGCCACGCCCTATGAGAAAGCACCTGCTAACACAGAGCAGGAGCCAGAAGGACTCTGACATCTGCTTTCCAAAAGACCATCTTTCAAGACTATGGAGCAGTATCAAGAGAAGCCACACGTTATTATTTAACAACCTGAAGCAGAAAGTTCAATTAGAAGGTAAGACTGACCAGGTGCAGTGGCTCACACCTATAATCCCAACACTGTGGAAGGCCTAGACAAGAAGATCACTTGAACCTAAAACTCTTGAGGCCAACCTGGACAATACAGTGAGACTTCATCTCTTAAAAAGAAAAAAAATTACATAGCTAGGCATGGTGGTGCACACCCATAATCCCAGCTACTTGGAAGGGGTTAAGGTGGGAAGATCGCTTAAGCCCAGAGGTTGGCAGTTACAGTGAGTTATGATCACACACTGCACCACTCCAGCCTAGGAGACAGAGCAAGACAGAGCCCTCTACTAAAACAAAGTTTTTTTTTTTTTGCTTTCTAATGAAAGCCAAGGCAGGAGTATCAAGGTATCAAGTATCAAGAGTTTGAAACTAGCCTTGGCAATTTAGCAAAGATCCCATCTCTACAAGAAAATAAGAAAATAAATATAAACAAACAAACTGGTTACAGCCTCTTGGGGGACAGGGAGATTTCAGCAATATAAAAATTTAGAACATTTTTATCAATTTAATCCATTTAAACAATAAAGGAATCATTAAATTATTCATACTATGGAACACTGCATAACAATTAAAAATGAAGGGGATTGGGGTGGTGCCTGTGGCTCAGTGAGTAGGGTGTCAGCCCCATATACCAAGGGTGGTGAGTTCAAACCCAGCCCTGGCCAAACTGCAACAACAAAAAATAAAAAATAATTAAAAAGAAAAAATGAAGGGGATTTGTATGTATTGAAGTAAGAACTCCAATATATGTCAAAAAAGCAAGTTGAGAAACATTTTTAAAAATATCCAACTTGCCTATTTTTAAAACCACATTTGTATGCATAGGTACATATGATGCACAAAAAAGTTTAAAAGATACATAAACTTTTTTTTTTGGAGACAGTCTCACTTTGTCGCCCTTGGTAGAGTGCCCTGGCATCACAGTTCACAGCAACCTCAAACTCTTGAGCTTAAGCAATTCTCTTGCCTCAGCCTCACTAACAGCTAGGAATACAGGAGCCTGCCACAATGTCCAGCTATTTTTTTTAGAAATGGGGTCTCGCTCTTGCTCAAGCTGGTCTTGAACTCCTGAACTCAGGCAATCCACCTGCCTCAGCCTCCCAAGTGCTAAAAGACACATAAACTTTTAACAGTGGTATCTTTGGAGAAATGAGACTTCCACATTTAACTCTGTATATTTCAATCTATTATGGGAGATGGAAAAATAAATAGGTAACTTTATTGTAATCCTTAATTCCTAATTAAGAATTTAAATTACTCCTCTGACCAAAACAAAGTCTTTTTGGTGTTTATCACTGTCTTTATTTCATTCCCTCATACCAAGATGAATTCTACACTGACTTCTGGACATTTACATCTCAAAGTTCCTGTATTTTCATTTCAAAGCTAAATCATTTTACACTGGTGTTCTACTTAAATCCAAGTAGCTTTCCCATACTATGTCAAACCAATTTCTCCTTTAATCTTCCCCATAATCCATGTTACCCTGAAATGTCCAACTGTGCTACTATTCCTAATGAATCTCAGCATAACTGATACAGTTAGGTGACTGAATCCATAGGTAATTTCTCTAATGTACATTATTCAAGATACAGATACTGCACCAACAAGCAAATACAATATAAAGCAAGGCAGGGCAGCCAGGCAGGCCTTTAGTCCCAGCTACTCAGGAGGCTGAGATGGGAAGATCTCTTGAGCCCAGCCTGAGCAACACAATGAGATCCTATCTCTAAAAATTAATTTAAAACAAACAGGGTAACTCAGCATTTTTTAAAAAATATTTCACTTTGCTTTAATTAAATACTGAGTCAATCTCAATTCACAAACAAGATATGACAGGCATTTATAAATTCCAACAGCCTAAGAACCAATTCCCAAGGTATAAAATCCACTTTGTACCCGCTCCTCCTATGATTACAATACAACACTGAGCCTTTGATAAAAGCTTAACTGGGTTTCAAACACATTCCAAAAGGTACCTCTCTACAGCAGTGATTCTCAATCTTCCTAAAGCCACAGCCTTTTAATACAGTTCCTGTAGGCTCAACCCACAGGTGGAGAACCACTGCTCGACAGGGTTCTAGAAGAGGTTTTCCCTTTACCTAGCAGTCATGACCCAGAGTTCCCTATGAGGTTTTCACAAAGGAAAAGAAAGGTCTCTCCTCCTGTCACCTCCCCCTGTACTTAGAGGTAGAAAAGAAACCACTGAAAACCAAGAACCAAGAAAAATCCAAACAAAGAGTATAAAACCTTTTAAATAATTCACATCAATTCTATAGTATGATTACTAAGGCCAGTTCTAAGAAAAAGGATAAAATAGAAGACAAAGAAAGAGAACAAGGTCACAAAACATACAATGATACACAGGAGGAAAAAAAAGACATGGAGAATAACAAAAGTACAATCTCCTTTGGATTAATATTCTAACTCGGTGGCATAAAAACATTAAGTCACTGAAGACATTTTAAATCTATACTGCACCCTGAAGGTCAGTGTCTTGACCAATTCATTTGTCAGTTCTACCATATATCCCCACATTCACCCTCATAGGAAGGACCAAGCCTCAAGGCCTAGCTCACAGTATTCACTGAATGGAAACAAAATAGACTGCTCACAGGAGCTCAACATGGTTGAGACACTCCAGTTAACAAGAGTGTAGCACAAAGTACATCAGAAGGCACTGGGGAGACGAGGGCTCCGCTGTCAGCCAACTCAGACTAGCCGCCAGGCCTGAAAACACCACTTTTGACCAGAGCTCCTTATTTTTTCAATTTGTGAATATGCCAAGAAACAATCAAGGGGAAAGAGAAATTCTGAGGTAGATGACACTGCAAACAATTTTATAACATGAAATGACATGATTTGTAAGAATTATTTTTCAATCTCATTGTTCAAGAATTAATAAGGCTAAGTAGTGCCTTACAGTTTATCACAGATTAACAAATTGTTGCATACTAAAAAGGAACAACAAAATGCTATACTTTTTGTGGTTCTGATTCTCACCCATACAACTGAACTGAGAAAAAGTAAACTATACAACAATCTCCAGGATGGCTATTTCCTGACTGTCACTATTTACATTTAATCTTCATTTGACTTGAGAAAATCCAAGTTCCATTAGAGATGGAAATGATTCCACCACTTGTTATTGGTATTATTTTTAACAATCAAGTTATCATAAATTGTATATAAGCTAAAAAATGCATACTGTGAGAAAATCCTGCTCAAATTTGTACGCTCCACCTCCAGTGGCACAAAAGACAGTGTGGAGACTTGAGAAGTTTTTATCTCTGCCCATTTGTATAAAAGCTGGCATGTCATGAGTGGGAAAGCGTATAAAGTGCAGATTGCCTTTGCGTCCACACAGAGTTAGGTCCTTCAGCTCGAGGTGAACATCCCGAATGCCCGTGGACCCATAAGCCACATTGGAGGTCAGGTACTTCCGGATGCTTTTAAGACTTTCTACTTCTTCCTCTTCTTCTTCAGCAGTGATGTCCTTGGGTTCAAAATAAACCAACTTGACCAGGGTTCCACCAATATCCAAGCCAAACCATGGAAAAACTAAATGAGGAAGAAAAACAAGTCAGAAGAGCTTTTTCCTGAAAACTAAATTTATACTTACTAGAGAAGCAACTTATTTCAATTAATAATTGAAACCATAAGGTTTCCAAAGGATATAATTCCAAACAAAAAATTTCGGGGAAAAGAAATGTTATGATCTGGAAGTACATCTTTAAAAGAAAAAAAAAACCCTAAGACAAAGATTGAAAAGAAAAATATCAAAATACTCAAGCCAACCCAACCTTCTTGTACAGACAAGCCCAAACTGAACTATAAAATATACTTTTTATAAAATATACTTTTTGAGACACAGTCTCACTGTCACCCTTGTTAGAGTGCTATGGCATCATCGCTCACAGCAACCTCAAACTCTTAGGCTCAAGTGATCCACTTGCCTCAGCCTCCCGTGTAGCTAGGAGTAGATGCCAGACACAACACCAGGCAAATTTTTCCATTGTCAGTAGAGAAAGGTCCTGCTGTTGCATAGGCTGATCTTAAGCTCTAGCAATCCACCTGCCTCAGTCTCCCAAAGTGCTAGGATTACAGGCATGAGCCACCATGCCCAGCTGATAAATATTTTAAAAATAAGAAAATAACTACCTAACCCATTAGCCTCAACTCTGAAAAACAAAGATTGAAAATGGAAATTTTTATCCTTCCCACCGGCTTCAAGAAGAAATGTTCACACTTCAGAGTTCTGGTTTAATACTTGATGTAAAGATAGAGGAAATTACGAACTCTATGTAATGTAAGCTCCAGTGGTCAATTTCTCTTTCGAAATTTGATATCCCAAAAATAAAAGTTTCAATGAACTTTAAGTTCATCTGTTCCCCCCCAAAACAGTCCTTCTTTAAAAAAAAAAAAGATGGCGCCTGTGGCTCAGTGAATAGGGTGCTGGCCCCATATACCGAGGGTGGTGGGTTCAAACCTGGCCCAGGCCAAACTGCAACAAAAAATAGCTGGGCATTGTGGCGGGCACCAGTAGCCCCAGCTACTCGGGAGGCTGAGGCAAGAGGATCGCCTAAGCCCAAGAGCTGGAGGTTGTTGTGAGCCATGATGCCACAACGCTCTACCGAGTGTGACAAAGTGAGACTCTGTCGCTAAAAAAAAAAAAAAAAGTCAAGAGACTGAATCAAGATGGACCACATAAGACATAGAGACAATCCCCAACTTAACAACAGTTCAATGTAACAATTTTCACAATGGTGCAAAAGCAATAGGCATTTGGTATGAACTATGCTTCCAGTACCCACTCTGCTTTTCACTTTCAGTACAGTACTCAGTAAATTACAGATATTCAATACCTTATTATAAAATAGGCTTTGTACTGAATGATTTTGCCCAACTAGAAGCTAATCTAAGTGCTCTGAACATGTTTAAGATAGATTAGGCTAGTTGAGGAGCATCTGTACATGTCTTTCCCACCTTACGTCCTAGAAATGAATAGATTTTTTTTTTTTTTGAGACACAGTCTCACTCTGGCAGGCTGAATATAGTGCAATAGTCATGGCTCACAGCAACCTCAAGCTCTTGGGCTCAAGTGATCCTCTTGCCTCAATCTTTCTATCTTTAGTAAAAAGGTCTCACTATTGCTCAAGCTGGTCTCAGAACTCCTGAGCTCGAGCAATCCACTTGCCTCAGCCTCCTAGAAGATAAGGATTTATTGATACGTTCTTTTCTAAAATGATTCTAGCAAACAAGAAATGATACCACCTGAAGAACTAAAGTGACGAAGGCAGTAATTATGCAGAACCCTCAAAAGAGGAACACTATTAAAACTGGGAGCAGCTACGAAAGTGGGAGAAGATGCAAGGGTGCTCTATCCAAGCTACAGATTGAAGGGGCTGCCATGAGGAAACAGGCGCAGGCTCTGGTGCAATCACAAGTAATCTGGTGGGAAAAGGCATTTGGAGCAACTAGACAGACCGCTCACTTTACCAAGAACCATGCCCATCTCCACCCTCGCAGAGGCAAGCTCTTCAATGAGTTCATAGGCACTAGAGCCAAAATCAGGATAGCACCCAGGTGTTTGCTATTACCCAGAAGGAATAAGGAGATGCCACACCTGGACAAGTACCTCATCTCTCCCCTACAATCTATCCTGACAGACTGGTAAACAGAAACTGTACCCACCCACTGACAGACGAACAACCATTCTCAAACCAGAAATGATCACTTTATAAACTAGAAAAACCAAAAGCGAAATCAACACCACAAAAGAAAGAAAGAGTTGCAGGAATAAATAGGAGAATCATAAATATTCTCAGAAATGAGACATCATCCATAAAAAATGAATAATCTACCATAAAGAAAAACTGGAAATTCAAAACTGATTGCCAACAGTGTGTGGGTACAAAAAATTTGCATGTGATTAAATTATATAGAACTAAATACACATATACAAAGAAGTTTATGCCAAACTAGTGAAATTAAATAAGGTGTGTCCATGTTAATTTGATAGTTGTGGAAAAAATGGTCTCAAAACCAAAGGACAAACTAATAATACACTTAGCATGCGTGAATCTCATAAACAGGCTGAGTAAAAGAGGCCTTGCACAAAAGGTTATATATACTATATGAAACTCTAGAAAACACAAAACAATTATTTCTGCATCTGAGAGCAAGATCGTAGGCTGGGATGGGGGTGAGGGGGTAAGGATGGAAAAAACTGTGTGTGAGAAATTTTCTGTGGTAAACCAAATCTAGACTGTTTGCAGCAGGAGGACTGTGTGTGTATATGGGTATGTGTATCTATAAAAATGCATACAACTGTGCACTTAAACGGATGCAGTTTATCATATGTAAACTGAATAAGTACTCTGGTAAAAAGGAAGAAAAAACAATTGCCAAAATAAAGTTCAATAAATATATTTAACAAAATAGACACAGAAAAAGCGTGCCTCTCACATAGGAAGGAAAGGAAGATACACAGAATACAGAACCAGAAAAGACCAACATCTTATGTGAGTTCTACAAACTTCCTAGGGCAAAGGGAGGACATGAACCATCAGACTGAAACTCTTTAACACAGAATCAAGTAGAAGGGGAAGATAACTTAGATACATCCTACTGCAATTTCAAGAAATTCTTAAAAAAAAAAAAAAAAAACCTAAATTCCTACAGATACTTAAATCACAAAAAGGTAAATATTAAACTCCTCCTGGGCAACACAGATGCCAGAAGACAATGGATCACTGGCTTCAAAGTTACAAAGAAAAAGGTTTTGAAATTTACATTCAGCCAAATCAGCTCTCAAGTAGGAGTGCAAAAGATATTTTCACACATTAAAGGACTCAGGGTTTACCACTCAAAGACCTTCTCTGAAATAATTAGTAAATGCATGCCAACATAATTTTAAAACATCCAAGAGCTTTAAGAAACAATAAGCAAAGGTACCAGTACATGCTGACTTTTAGAAAAGTGAGCAATGTGAAACTAAAATACTTACATTATTTCAACATAGGAAGTCGAAGAGGGAAGAGAAAGGAGAAGAAGTGAAAGCAAGCAGCAGTTCTGTCTTGTTGGGAAAAGGAAGAAAAGACAAAAGACTGATTAATTCTAGACAAGAATAGAGAAGCAACAATTTAAATGTGTTAAAAACTTATAGGTAACTCCAGAAGAAGAGAAAAAGAACACAAGACTACCGAATAACTAGAAAAGAGTCAGTTCAAATACCAGTAAAACTATAAATACAAAACAAGAAATGACAGGAATGAATGCAAATACATCAGTAATTACAAACAGCTCAAATTTCTCTTCCAGAAAGACTGAAGAATTTCACCCGCATGCTGACATTAAAAAAAAACTCAACAAGATAACATAAAAACAAGATAACATTAAGTAAACTGAAGGAAAAATGATAAAACACCCACAATGAAGTCACATGACGAGGAACTGACTGCTTTGAAAGATGAAAAGGCATGGTATTCAGTCAAAATTAACACTCATATCAAAATCTTAAGCACTCAAGCACCTCACTGGAGAGGAATATACTAGATAGAGTGGCTGACTTACATTTAGGAGCCAAGGATAGTAAAGGCTACAAGTTTCAAAACCAGCATTACACTGATCAAGGGGCTATGCTCATGTTATTCCCCCCAAATAGAGATCTACTGAGGAAATTAGATTCACAATTCTCAACCCTGCTTTCACTCGTGATCACGTAGAGTATTCACTGACCGTAACAGTGGGTAACCTCAGTGGCACCATTTATTTACCTGATTTGCCAAATTTACATAGCTGAATATTAATGAGCAAAATAAATGCCAGGACAATGCTACTGGCAAAAACCAACTGCCATACTAGCAGATCAAACAACTCAAAAAATAATTAAGCCTTAAGGGGAGACAAAAAGAAATGTCATGTGCATGAAGAAGTGCAAGCAGTAAACTTAACAGCCATGATCCTTATGTACCTAACATACGCTTCAAAAAATATTAAAAACAGAGAAATTGATAAATCTACAAATCAGAATGAGAATGACACAGATTTCAGAAAACTGTAGGTGACACATATACAAAAGAATGGCATACAGAGAATTTAAATATCACAGCTAATAAGGTGATCAACAATACATAAATAAAGTTTCTATCAAAAAAATCGAATACATTTTCCGCTCAAATACCCACAAACGATTCACAAAAATTAATCACACTAATGATGCATGGTGGCTCATGACCATAATCCTAGCACTCTGGGAGGCAGAAGCAGGTGGATTGTGTGAGCTCACACGTTCAAGACTAGCCTGAGCCAGAGTGAAACTTCGTCTCTAAAAATAGCCTGGTGGCTTGCACCTGTAGCACAAGCAGCTAAGGCGCCAGCCACATACACTGGAGCTGGTGGGTTCAAATCTAGCCCAGGGCCCACCAAACAATGATGATAACTACAACCAAAAAAAAAAAAAAAAAAAACAGACACTGTGGCAGGTATCTGTAGTCCCAGCTACTTGGGGGACTGAGGCAAGACAATCGCGTAAACGATTGGAGGTTGCTGTGAGCTGT